CAATGGTTTGAATGGGGTTTCTATTCGAAACCAATGATTTTAAGTAGTTTCTATTGGGAACCAATTGTGTCTATTATTTTTTCTACAAAGAACCAATTGTTTATAATTTATTTCTGTTGGCAACACATTGTGTTAATTAGCTTTCTGTTGGAAACCAATAATTTATTTTTCAAAATTCAAAAAAAAACTCAGCTTTTCTATTGGAAACCAATGGATTTGATTAGTGTTCTATTGGAAACCAATGTTTTACATAGTTTTCTATGGGACAATGGTTTAACTTAGTTTCCCATGTGGAAACAATGGTTTGAATATGTTTTCCATTGGAAACCAATTGTTTTTATTAGGCTTCGATTGGGAACAAATGGTTGTCATTGATTTCCACTTGGGAATCCATTTTTATAAATAAAAAACAATTCGTTTTCTATTGGGAACCAATGGTATTTATTGCTCTTCGATTGGAAACCAATGGTTTATAACAGTTTTCTATTGGGAAACCAATGGTTTGAAAAACGGAAACCAATGGTTCTAATTAGTTTGCCATTGGAAACCGTGTTCTTTTGGGAACCAATGGATTTCCATAATTTTCAATTGGGAAACCGATGGCTTTAATTTAGGGGAACCAATAATATTAATTAGATCCCCAGTGGAAACCAATTGTTTTAATTAGTGTTCGGTTTAAAACCAATGCTTTGACTTCTTTTCTATTGGAAGCCAATGTTTCCAATTAGTTTTCTATTGGAAGCCAATGGTTTTAATTAGGAATCGCGCTAAGTTGCCTAACAGCGAAGACTGATAGGTTCCTAACAGGGTCAAGAGAGAGCAGCATGACGCCCCAGGCGGGTCTGGGCGCGATCTGGGGGAGGATGCCAGGGAACTCGTTAAACAGTAACGCACTTCGTGGTCTTCGAGTTCCCAGAACTCCATTCCTGGGCATGATTTTGAATGCCCGGAGCCAGCTGTAGGCCACTTCGTGTTCTTCGTGTTCCCAGAACACCCTTCCCGGGCCACATTTTGAATGCCCGGAGCCAACTGTAGGCCACTTCGTGTTCTTCGCGTTCCCAGAACACCACTCCCGGGCCGCATTTTAAATGCCCGGAGCAAGCTGTTGGCCACTTCGTGTTCTTCGCGTTCCCAGAACACCATTCCTGGGCATGATTGTGAACGCCCGGAGCCAACTGTAGGCCACTTCGTGTTCTTCGACCCGGGCCACATTTTGAATACCGAAGCAGGCTGATGCTGAGGCTGGGGCAGGCTGAGGCTGAGGCCGAGGCTGAAGGCAGACAAAAACTGAGGCTGAGGCTGAGGCAGGCTGAGGCTGAGGCTGAGGCAGGCTGATGCTAAGGCAGGCTGAGGCTGAGTCTGAGGCCGACGCAGGCTGTGGCTGAGGCAGGCTGAGGCTGAGGCCGAGGCTGAAGGCTGAGGCTGACGCTGAAGCAGGCTGAGGCTGAGGCTGAGGCTGAGGCAGGCTGAGGCTGAGGCCGAGGCTGAGGCAGGCTGATGCTGAGGCAGGCTAGTTCCCAGAACTCCATTCCCGGGCCACATTTTGAATGCTGAGGCAGGCTGATGCCGAGGCTAGGCTGGCTGAGGCTGAGGCAGGCTGAGGCTGAGGCCGAGGCTGAAGGCAGACTGGGGCAGAGGCTGAAGCAGGCTGAGGCTGAGGCCGAGGCAGGCTGAGGCTGAGGCTGAGGCAGGCTGATGCTGAGGCAGGCTGAGGCTGAGGCTGAGGCTGATGCAGGCTGAGGCTGAGGCCGAGGCTGAAGACAGACTGAGGCTGAGGCTGAAGCAGGCTGAGGCTGAGGCCGAGGCCGAAGGCAGGCTGAGGCTGAGGCTGGGGCAGGCTGATGCTGAGGATGAGGCTGATGCAGGCTGAGGCTGAGGCAGGCTGAGGCTGAGGCCGAGGCTGAAGACAGACTGAGGTTGAGGCTGAAGCAGACCGAGGCTGAGGCTGAGTCAGGCTGAGGCTGAGGCTGAGGCAGGCTGATGCTGATGCAGGCTGAGGTTGAGGCTGAGGCTGATGCAGGCTGAGGCCGAGGCAGGCTGAGGCTGAGGCCGAGGCTGAAGGCAGACTGGGGCTGAGGCTGAAGCAGGCTGATGCTGAGGCAGAGGCAGGCTGAGGCAGAGGCTGAGACAGGCTGATGCTGAGGCAGGCTGAGGCTGAGGCTGAGGCTGATGCAGGCTGATGCTGAGGCAGCCTGAGGCTGAAGCCGAGGCCGACGGCAGCCTGAGGCTGAGGCTGAGGCAGGCTGAGGCTGAGGCTGATGCAGGCTGAGGCTGAGGCCGAGGCCGACGGCGGACTGAGGCTGAGGCTGAAGCTGGCTGAGGCTGAGGCTGAGGCAGGCTGAGGCTGAGGCAGGCTGATGCTGAGGCAGGCTGACGCTGAGGCTGAGGTTCATGCAAGGCGAGGCTGAGGCAGGCGGAGGCTGAAGCCGAGGCTGAAGGCAGACTGATGCTGAGGCTGAAGCAGGCTGAGGCTGAGGCTGAGGCAGACTGAGGCTGAGGC